GGTGGGGGGGAAGAGAGAGGAAGAGAGGGAGGAGTGTCAGGGAAGAAGAGTGGGATGCTAGAGGATGGCTTTTAAAAGTAAACCCCAAAAATTACAAGCCCTGCAGGAAGCTATTCCAAGCACCTTTGTAGAGTTGCCATTTTCCCAATCTCCCACAGTTCTTTAAGGGGATTTTCTATCTTCCCCCTCCCCCGTCTGTGTCCCATTTTCCTTTTTTGTTTTTCTTGTATTTGGCGATGTTACTTTTTCCCATTTCTTCAGGCAATGTGGCTCTTTTTACAAAATCGTGCCAACTTTATTCATCCAGAGCTTTGTTTTTCTTTCTGTATGCATTTGAATTCTCTCTTTCACTCCTGCCACCCCTCAATACTTTCCTCTCTTGGCCTTATTAATTTCCACTGACCTATTCCTCCCGTTAACCCAATTTCACTCATCGTTTTTGCCTCTCTCGTCTTTCCTGCGGCCTCTCTTCGTTCCAGCATCCCGATTCCTTTGATCAGGAGCCAGCGTGCACTTTTCTTTTCCCTCCCATACTCCTCCTCTTGCTACTGTCTTCTGCTATCTTTTATTCCCTTTAGCTTGTTAAAACAGTAGGTTATTCACATTTGATCTTTATTTAGCTTCTGGGTTCCTGAAATGAAACTATAGTCTGTACAGTATTCTTGTTTTGTTTTATTTAATCTGTGCAGCAAATGCTAGCTAGCTGTGCTTAAAATGTTACGTTTGTTTAGATGTTTTAAGCACTTTTCGATCATGCATACTGGACAAGAACTACTCAAGGGACAACACATTGTTTGGGGTGATGCAAGTTCTTCATTGAATATTTATTTTTAGCTAAGAAGATGTTTATTGAACCATCAAGCAAATGCACCAATGCTGTGCAGCACAAGTGCAAGTTGCTCAGTATCAGATGCACGTAAGCAAATACCACTAATTACGTGCTGGAATAAAGACTTTTATGGCTTGCTGCAGGTTCGAGCCATTAGCTGTCATGTCTGATCAGGCAGCGGAAAGTAAACGATGGACACAACCGCGTCTAAGGTCACCCAGGAGAAAAATGTGATCTGCAGGTCTTAAAGGATGAAGAACAAAGTCATGTGAAAATCTAAAATGTAATGAAGCTGGCTGATCAGTTTCCAACATTAATTTCCAAACATGGAGGGCTGCGCGGTGGCGCAGTGGTTAGAGCTGTTGCCTTGCAGCAAGAAGGTCCTGGGTTCGCTCCCCGGCCTGGGATCTTTCTGCATGGAGTTTGCATGTTCTCCCTGTGCATGTGTGGGTTCTCTGCGGGTTCTCCGGCTTCCTCCCACAGTCCAAAAACATGACTGTTAGGTTGATTGGTCTGTCTACATTGTCCCTAGGTGTGTGTGTGTGTGTGTGCATGGTTGTTTGTCCTGTGTGTCTCTGTGTTGCCCTGCGATGGACTGGCTCTCTGTCCAGGGTGTACCCCGCCTGATTGCCCACTGACTGCTGGAGATGGGCACCAGCCCCCCGCGACCCTGCATGGACAAGCGGGTTCAGACAATGGATGGATGTTCTTATAGAAAACATGTGCTAAGATAAGGTGGATAATAATAATAATAATACATTGAACTTATATGGCGCTTTTTAGGACACTCAATGATGCTTTCATGCACGCTCACATTCACACACTGTCAGTGATGGTAAGCTACTTTGTTGCCACAGCCGCCCTGGGGCGGTCTGACAGGCTGCCATTTAGTGCCATCGGCCCCTCTGACCACCACCAACAGAGTCATATGTCAACACTTTCTGTGAAAAACACAGGTAGTATCAGTATGCAGGTGTTCTATCCCATGCACAATCGTTTTATGGGTTCTGAATTTGATGCATAAAAAACATAATCGCACATGGTGGATGGGGTCTTTCTGCATGGAGTTAGCATGTTCTCCCTGTGCATGCGTGGGTTCTCTCCGGGTACTCCGGCTTCCTCCCACAGTCCAAAAACATGACTGTTAGGTTGATTGGTCTGTCTAAATCACATATGTCAGACTCAAGGCCCGCGGGCCAGATGCGGCCCGCGGAGCATTTTTATGTGGCCCGCGAGATAAATATCAAAAATATATTAAAACTGGCCCACTGGCCGATTTTACCGCAAAGACTTCAACTCCCATGATGCTTTGCGGCGTCAGCGCAGAGCCAACGCGCCCCCTCCTTTGTGTTTTTCCAGCGCCTGCTGCCGGTGTGCAGCTCCGCTGTCTCGGACAAACCAAACACTCTCACTCAGCTCCGAGTTCACTCAGCTGTTTTCTGACGTTGAAGCCCAGAAACGGAGATTCTAGCCGCTCAGTAATGTGTTCACGACTGAAAGAGAAAGTTTTCAAACTAACGTCCAGACAGAGCTGATATAACTCCAGCGACACGCTCAAACCAGCACGACTCTGTCGTTGCTGTCGTGTTTCCTCCCCGACACACAACAACATGGTCAAGCTGCTCAGACATGTTCATCAGCACAAACCTATGTGAGCACCTGTTGTCATCTAATGTTGTCATTATTATGATGAAGATGAACAAAACAACAGGAGTCTCCTCCTCAGCTCAGGTCAACCCCATGATGCAGGTATCTGGCTGGAACAGGTGAGCATCACAGTAAACCAGTGGAGCAAACTGAGCTTTAAATATGTTGGTTTGATGCTCTTTTTCTGCTCCAAAACATGAAAGTTAACAGGTGAGATGTTGCATTTTCATTTAAGATAAAATGATATTTTTATTTTGTTGTTGGCCCGTGAGAAAAGATGTAAAGATTTAAAAGATTTTAAAAATGCTGATTATATATATATATATATATATATATATATATATATATATATATATATATATATATATATATATATATATATATATGTAATGAATACCACTGATGCCTTTTATTTCAAACTGACTTGCTCGTGTGTAATTTGGTTATTCCACATTCAGTGTTAATGCAGAAATAAGTTTGTTTCCAAATTTAAAGGTTCTAAATTGCATTTATGTTGATAAAGAAAATGTGCAAATTTGCCGACACTTTTTCAAAAACATTAAGTTTGGCCCTCGACTCCGTCCCAGAGTTTCATTTCGGCCCCGTGTGAGTTTGAGTTTGACACCCCTGCTCTAAATTGTCCTTAGGTGTGTGTGTGTGTGTGTGTGTGTGTGTGTGCATGGTTGTTTGTCCTGTGTGTCTCTGTGTTGCCCTGCGATGGACTGGCTCTCTGTCCAGGGTGTACCCCGCCTGATTGCCCACTGACTGCTGGAGATTGGCACCAGCCCCCCCCCCCCCCCCCCCCCCCCCCACACACACACACACACACACACCGGCGACCCTACGTGGGCAAAGCGGGTTCAGACAATGGATGGATGGATCCAAACAAGGACCAATTTTGTGGCACCGGTGAATGTGAAACATTATTTGTCGTCATACTTATTTAATAATTTCATTTGTCTGTTTTTCTTTTTCTTTTGGTTTCCCCAAGAACTACACACAAACTCTTGGGAGACATTCATTTTTCTTGATACATGTGTTGCACATCAACATTTTAAATTGACATAAACATGGGTGGGTATTTTTTTCAGAAAAGGAAGCATTATTTTATTAATTCATCGTTATCTTAATCATTTAAAATCAGGCAGATAATATGACTGACAGCCCAGGATGAGATGCGGTTTTGAGTAAGACAAAAACTTCATTGCTCTTGTAAAGGACATGTTGCCTGTTGATGAATCTGGGCTTCCTACTGGTTCTTTGTAAAACTTTCACTTTTGTTTACTAATGAAAACACAGAACTCCCATAAAAATCAAAGTCTGAAATATTATCTGCATTACAACTAAATAAAAGATGAAACAAACACGAAGCCTCTTCTCTAGAAGGCAGAGGACGTCTCAGGGAGAAGGATTTGCTGGTCAGTCCATTAGCCGGGCCTTTGCCTCACCCCTGTGAGGACAGTCCTTGCCCCGGTGATGTTACAGCTGGCTGGAACACATTTTCCCACATTACCAAATTATCAGCACTTCTAAATGTAATCGGGTTATGTGCTCTGTCTGCGGAGCAACAATTTTCTGCAGCCTCTCACAGCCACCGCCTCATCCCAGGGAACATTTTTCAACTGAATAATCACATTTGTTATTCTAGCAGCGTCGCTGTGGAAAATCAATATGAAATCAAATGAATATCTCTTCTGTGTCACCCCCACCCAAACCCTAAAAAAGAACCCTGGGACTCAGCCCTCTAGTGCCATCAGTCATCTGAAAAATCCAGACTTGCTCCGTTGCCAACAAACCGTGTGGGGATATGAATGAGTAATGTTCCTCTGTACCTTAACAGCTATTTTCCTGAGTGCCCTTGAGCAAGTCACTTAACCTCCCACTGCTCCAGTGGAGCAACACGAGATCAACGGCAGAGAAAAGCTACTTTTCTAAATATGACAATTAATAAAATAAGTCTAATATATATCACAATAACAATAATATTCTGTTTTGTCAAAACATTTCTATTGAAATGTCAGATAAAATAGCATTCTGGACTATAACAGCTACTGATGTCAGTATTTGTGGCCTTGGGTGGATCATTTTCATACATTTATCAGGTTGGTTTGTCTTTTATTGACTTCCTTGATGTTTCAGTCTGTCCTGCAGGCATTGATCAGTTATTGGTCCACAACCACAAACAACCATTTGATAATTAAAAACGTTTTCCCGGTTGAGTCCTTCATAATAATTCTTGTGCTTTGCTTTGAAATGTTTGTGTTGCTCTAAAACTGTCACCAGTGCTGCAGATTTTTATTTATTTATTTATTTTTGCTTTAAATTATTTTCAGTGTTCATGAAGCATGGAAGCACCTGTTGTTATTGTCTGAATGCTCACCATTTTCTTGAGGTTGAACATTTTTTAAGCTAGGAAATCATCTGCTCATACGTGAATCTTGATGAGCTTTATTTTTAGAAACATGCTTTCTTTTTTGCGTATCGACATAATTTATCTTCCTCATCTCTCTCCTCGTTTTGGCAGTGCAACACTAACTACGTCCCCGTGTGTGGCTCCAACAACAAGAACTACCAGAACGAGTGTTTCCTTCGAAGAGACTCCTGCAAGCAGCAGTCTGAAGTCCTGATTATGGCAGAAGGACTCTGTCCTGTCGGTACGTATTTTCGGATCTCTACAACATCTCATACCAGCTTACTTCAGCAGGAAGCAGAACAGATGCACGGACAAACATGTTTGGACAGAAAATATTAAAGTAGGGATGTAACGTTCCTCCTACATCTGCATGAAAGCATTTAATTGCATATGCAGAGCTAAGTTTCAGAGTATGAAAACCCAATCCAATTTCACTGCACGATATTCAGGCGTGCACGTTAAACTCTCTAGAATATAATTACGCTTCCAAGTGCCAGGATTCAGTGCTTGTGGAGCGACGCTTTGATACAATGAAATTACAAAGCTACACAAGAAAAATGTACAGGTGCCAGGCAAATTAAACTTCAACAGTTTATTACAAGCTGCTCATCTAAAGGAAAGTATGGGGTGCCATTTATAAAGTCAAACAGTCATAATCTAACAGCAATACTTTTGGTTATTTAGCATATCATAAGAGAAAAAATTGGGAGTTCACTTTTTCGAAGTCATATTTTCATCATGTTATTCATACATTTATAAATGTTAAAGTTTCCAAATAAATGTTTTTTTAGCAAGCTAAATATTTAATTTGTAGTTAAATATTTCTTTTGCAAACTAAATATTTAGGTCTGATCTGAATATTTAGTTTGTAAAATAAATATTTTATTCACTAACTAAATATTTAATTTACTAATTAAATATTTATTTTGGAACTAAGTATTTAATTTGTAAATTAAATATTTATTTTTCAAAATAAATATTTAGATCCCAGCTAAATATTTATTTTGAAGCTAAACATTTAGTTAGAAAAATCAGTATTTGGGAAATAAATATTTAAGTCTGACCCAAAAATATAAAATATATTGTGGAGCTAAATAACATCGTGGAAGATAAATATTTAGCTGACACTTAAACATTTAGCTAATATGCAAATTTGCTTGCCAATAAGCGGAAGTTGGTTACCAGAATAAAAGCTGGATCTCGCTAACCTCTTTATAAACTCTTGCTCCGAACCAGAACTTGTTTTATCTCCGGTTTTATTCTTCTGAACATGTCCGACGTGTCGGCTGAAGAAGAACAGAACCGGAGATAAAACAAGTTCTGGTTCGGAGCAAGAGTTTATAAAGAGGTTAGCGAGGTCCAGCTTTTATTTTGGTAACCAACTTCCGCTAATTGGTAATTCAATATTTATTTTACAAACTAATTATTTAAAATGCTGAAAATATTGCTGTTAGATTATGACTGTTTGCCTTTACAAATGGCACCCCATAGGAAAGGAAAGTATTTTCAAAGAAAACATGAAGAATCCTCTCAGTAATCATACCCTGATGTCATCAGACAACGCAAAAGGCAAAGGGAGCTTCTTAAACAGGACAGCGACTTCACCTTAAATGGTTGTGACATGATGCGGAATTTAAACATTTTTTAGGAAATCATGGAGGGGTAATGCAACATTTGCATGAAAACATTTGCTCAGTAAAGCTTGAAATTGAAGGATATCATGTGAAAAGTGTAGTGAATTTCCTGTTTCATCAATAAAGCAAAATAATACTGAGATTTCACAAAAGCACATACCGTTATTACAGTAGTTGTTAACATGAACATTTTCTGCAGATGCAGACTGTCATGTCCATCCTGAATGCTGTGCATTGATTCATGTAATGGCGTTTTGTTCATTCTTTATGGTGGCGCAGTGGTTAGCACTGCTGCCTCGCAGCACGAAGGTTGCAGGTTCGAAACTCGGCTGCGGCCTTTCTGCGTGGAGTTGCGTGTTCTCCCCATGCATGCGTGGGTTTCCTCCGGATGCTCCGGTTTCCCCCACAGATCACAACATGCCCTATAGGTTCTAAATTGTAAGTCGCTTTGGATAAAAGCGTCTGCTAAATAAATAATCATAAACATAATAAACATTTATAGAGGGAAAGAAATAACTATGTAAAGTCAATATTCTCAGTGGCTGTGGGGCTCCTTGTTAATGAAGGAAATCCTAATTGTGTTTAACAACCTTTTGGAGTATTCATTGTGCTTTTATGTGCCCATTTTATTGATGCCATCACCTAATGTTTTCGTCTTTCCACTTGCTGCAAGGAAAAAGCCAACATTTTATATTTATCACCTATAATTGGGATTACCGGTCGCTGATGTAGTTAGGTGTTTAAGCTGCTGAGTGGGTGTCATCAGTTAGAAAAGGTCAGGCACTCCATTAGCCCTGTTGTGAGGAGAAGTAGTGCTGCATGAAGAATGTGGAGCTATTTCTGATCACACTTCCTGGTTTTTATCAACAATTAGAGTCTGGGAACTCGTGTTTTATCCACATCCAGTCTATTTGAGTCAAATGTTATGGATCTGATGGTCTGATTTAGGCACAATATTCATAGTGATGGTTTCCTTATCCTGAGATACGTAAGGTTAGGCTTCCCTCCCACCATCTGGTGTTTTACTGTACACACCTCAGTCAGCAAATTACATTCTTCTGGGTCAAATCAGGGTTTGGTGCATCATGGTAAAAGTAGACATGCAAAATAATGACAGATTAGAGCCATCTGAAACACAAAATGGACACTTTACATCCACACAGGTCCAATTAAAGTTGTCTGGCCCCAACAAGACTTACGTCTACAATCAAACATTATATATTATTCCTCAGAATGTGACTTGGTCTAACAGAGATTTCACATCATACCCTCCATCAGCATTAAGTTTGGATCAACATCTTACTCGATCCAACATGTGAAGGCCTATAGATGCCTCCACCTGTTCTCACGTGTGCAGCTCAAACCAATCACAGCATCAGTATTTTATTGATTGATGCAACAAACAGCCAATGGAATTAGATAATCTACGAAATATGGCAACCAACCCATTCATGGTCTACTTCTGCAAGCTGTGTTAGAGTGTTTGTGATTGGTGGATCGGTATGTCAGGAACATTAGATAAGAACATGCCGAGTTTGTTTGTCTCTGACATTGCAGCACAACCTGCGACGTGACTACTGCGCACGCGTGGGGTGGTCGCTACTCAAACGGAACATCTTGCAACTCTAATGTGATTGATGACCAGTTGTTTTGAATGGTGCGAGTTGGACGACTGTAATGTCCCAAATGTGGGACATTAGGTAATCAAACTAAGAAAAATACGTATGTGCAGTTCGATTGTGTAACAGATTCTTGTTCATGCAGAGTTTCTGTTACAAATATTGGATCGAACTCTTACTTGTCCTTCCCAGTTGTGCACAATCCTTTCACCAAGGGTTAATTGTTCATTTTGTCATGAAAACCTTTTTAACCACAAGTTCTCTGTAAGAGATCAGCATATACTCTATTCATTTGTCAGGTTTTTGTCACAACGTTTGTTTTTTTCAATGCCTTTCTCATGTCTTATGCCTTAATCCTTAGTTGACACCTTTAAAGGAATGAGCTTGTACTTGAGCAAAAGCAGCGATGCCCACTGACGAATAAACCAATTAATGAGTCATATTATGAATAATGTTCTTATTCCACTGGCAGGCTGATGCTCATGGTTTTTATTTAATTTTTTAGGGCTTTTGTGAATCACTTCTTAAGCCGGTATAGGATGATGTTGGCTCAAGCTGAGCAGCCGCTGACTCAGTCGCCCTCGCTGAAAAGCTGCTGGCAAGGTCCCGGTGAATGGGTCCAGTTGAGCGGAGGGAACGTGTGGAGATACTGGAGTAGTGGTGTTCGCTCCAGAACAGGGACACACACACACACACACACACACACACACACACACACACACACACACACACACACACAGTCACATGAAACAACGAGCGCTCCTCTTTTTAAATTGCTTGTTTGTTGGTGGTGCGTGAAGTCCTATTGAAGACATGTGATAAGTAAGTGAGTGTGTGTGATATGAATTTCTCAGCTGTTTGATAAAGAATCAGATAAAGACTCCTTTCTTTCGTGCAACAAGCAGCGCCTCTGAGAATCTTCTGCACAATTGGAACAAGGACGTTGTTGTGATGTGGGTGTTTGACAATCCATAAGAAGTGGTTTGAGTGCATTCAGATGTACACAGACAAGGTCACAGTAACAACACCTGCTGTCTGTGGGGAAGGAATAATGCATGCTGTGGTGAAATACTATTTAAGTGGAATTAGTGATAAAATAACATTTCTCTGACTAATGCTGGAACACAATGATTCTGCTTTTACATTAAAACATCTCCCTCAAATGGATTCAAGAAATTTTAGAGGAGTATATATATATGTATATATATATATATATATATATATATATATATATATATATACATTGTAAAAGAAGACAGCCTCAAAAAAATCTTTCAATTCATGTTTCCTATTTCAGCTAAGTCTCCCTGATAAGTTTTAATTGTTAAACTCAATTTTGAGTGTTTTGATAATGAAAACTTAAAACTGCTTGCCATTTGAACAGATGATTACATTTTCTTCATTCTCGTGCGTTCAGCCAATTTAAAGCTGCAATTTATTGATAAAAAATGACCCCGCCCACTGTGAAAGCTGTGGTGGGTGAGGTGCATTGTGGGTAGTCCTGTTCTTAGTTATTTTGTTCTAATTTGAGGTGTTTCTGCACATTTATTGTGGGTGGTTGTGTTGTTTTTAGTTTTTGCTTTGTTTCGTGTTAGTTTTGATAACACAAGTTCAAACAATTCATCCATTTGTTTAGTTAACAAAAACTTTTACTTTGAATGGACAACCACACGTCTAACTCAAATTTATAAATCAATAGGGCTGTAGCGAAGCCTCGATGACGTCGACGGCTCGATTCTAAAAATTTGTCGACGTCAGATCCGGAAGTCGACGCACCGCGCCAACTTGTTGCATCCCCAGGAGTTTGTAAATAGAGGAGGAATCTGCCTGTTTTTCCTCTAGTTCGCCCTCTTCTCCGCCTTCACTAACATCTCCACCAAATACCGAAGACCCGGAACAACGTCCGTCCGCTACTAGATTCCTTTCTTGTTTTGCCCGCCTTCGTCTCCCGGCAACGGACAACAACTTCCGGGGTCAGATGCGCTGCT